AGACAAAGTAGTGTATGATGATGCAATAACCTGTTCACTGATGAAGTTGAGGAGGAAGATCCACACATTCATCATTAGTTTTTTTGCTTCAGTACACATTTTGGACAGATGTATAGGGTGTTGTGTGTGAAAGACTGAAAGAAGTGTTGTAATCAATCAAACACAAGTTTTTGTATGCCTATATTAAAGTGTATTGCTTATTTCATTTCCTATTCCACTTAGGAAACCTAGATAGGCATGACAAGTATAGGTTGTGCACCCCAAGACTATATAAAACTCCACTATTCTAGAATAGAATAAAGACATTCATCATTACCAAACCACACTTAAGTGTAGGAATGTAAGCCGCCATAACCCAATGGAATTGGGGGTGGCTTACACACCAACACTGCATTGAACTCCCTTTACAGAATTAACCATTTATCATTACCAAACCACACTTAAGTGTAGGAATGTAAGCCGCCATAACCCAATGGAATTGGGGGTGGCTTACACACCAACACTAAATTGAACTCCCTTTACAGAATTAGCCATTCATCATTACCAAATCACACTTAAGTGTAGGAATGTAAGTCGCCATAACTGACGAGCACTTTGTCACGGTGCGTCAAAATAATTTTCAATACTAAACACTTATACGTAGTATAGCGTAGTAGAGTTCGTATCCACAGGGAAAGGAATGATTTTCTTTCTATGAAACTAGTAATTAAAAGGGGGGTTTTGGTTTGAGTGATTTAATTCAATTAAGAACTAAGATGAACAACCTATATGTGTTTAATTCAAAGATAAAAGGACTTGGCATTGCTACTTTCCACTTGTTGATATATTTTAGTCGATCATTGTTATATCTATAACTTATTCCCTCTCGAATACTCAATCGGGGAGTATATCCACTTCATCGAGGATAGTTATTAACAACGACCGTTCATTAATAACCCTTACTATTAATCAAATATAGAACAACGCCTTATACCGATTTAATAGTAGCATTTAATCTTTCTAACTCCTTGATGAAATCAATTGAGATTGATAACCTCAACACAAGCGGTTTCGGTTTAACCAACAAAATTAATCCCTCTTAAGTTTATTAACCACGACCGTGCATTAATAAACCGAAGTTACTTACTTGTGAAACCATCAACGATTAACCATCGGTTCGTTGATCGTTTCTAGTAATAATTAATATATGAAACAAAACTAGTTGATCCTTTAAGTAATGTTCAAAATATTAATATGAAATAAGAGTAGGAATTAATTAATATTGAAGGAAGAATATTATTAATGAAGATGAATCCTACTATAATTAATATCAAGATGTTAACTAATTGTCATCTTAGCAACACTCCTCAATATTAATATAGAGGAAGAAAATGCCATTCTAACTAATGTCGAGATGTTAACTAATTGTCATCTTAGCAACACTCCCCAACATTAATATAGAGATGGTATTAAGGAAAGAACTATTAATTAATATTCAAGGGAAGAAGTTAAGAAAATAACTCACAACTTTAATAATCAACAAGCTTCAAGAGCAACACCAAGAATGGAAGTTTAGCTCCTCATTTGGAGACTAAACATAGCTAGAAAAATATAAAGAAATGCTATTCTAAACTGAGCTAAAGAGAATGAAAGAAGGGATGATTTTTAGAGGAGAAAAAGAGTGCTATTTATAGGTGTTTTTCAACACCTTTGGCCGGGTACCCGACCGGGTCAAGTACTCACCCGACCGGGTCCATGTCAAAATCAAATATCCTCCACGTTCTGGCGATCTTCAGCATGTTCAAGTGTCCGGGTCAAGTCAGACCCGACCGGGTGGGGTAGGGGACCCGACCGGGTGAGTGCAAAAATTGGATTTTCTACACGTTCGGGTGATCTTTGTACACCGGGTTGTCCCCGGTCACTTCTCACCCGACCAGGTGAGGTAGTGGGCCCGACCGGGCCATGCACTTTCTTTGCATTTTCGTTTTTCACTTCTTACCCGACCGGGTCAAGTATTATACCCGGTCGGGTATTTGCTCCTGGGCAGCCAAATCTTCTTTTTCTTCACTTCAAAGTCTTCCTTTCCAAACCATAAATCCTAACTAAACTTTACAACTGACAAAAATAGACTAAAATACAATTACAACTTGAAATCACATAAATGTTTACAAACTAAATAAAACGTTAAACAATTAACATAAATCACACATAAAAACATGTAATTATGCACTACTAATTAGTGTGCATCAATAACCCAATGGAATTGGGGGTGGCTTACGCCATAAAGGAAAGCACTCAGAATGCATGTTAAATCCACAAAATAAACAGCATACGATTATAAAGAGTACTCCCCTAGGGCAATTGCTTGTCCCAAAGCTTAGGATCCCACTTAGGCATAAACAGCTTCAGCCAGCTATCAAATGAAGCTTTTCGTTTAGGCGGCCACTGATAGTACGGCGAAGCACTGGTTCACCAGAGTACTCCGCAGCCATCACTGGTTCAACATGCATGGAGAAATTGGTCAGATTTTAGCCTTCGAATACCCTAGATTCGTAGATTTTGATGGACGAATTAGATTGGTTGGGTGCAAAGGGTTGCATGAAGAAATCATCAGATGTATCGGCAACGACGGAGCAAACCTCTGGCTCTGATGTGTCCGTGGATATGACAGTGACGGAGGTCGGAGATGAAGCCTAAAAACCTGACAAGTGTTTTACAAATGAAGATGAGGGTTTGGACAGATGAAGTATTCAGCCACACCTGAAGGTTCAAGGGAGAATTCAGAGGTTTCTCAAGGGTTACACAGAGCGAGATGAGTGGACGGGTTGAGGAAGATGAGATGAGAGATGAAGGGTCAGACGAGAGGAAATGAGAAGCGACGGGTAAAGTGGGAGAGAGGAGAGAGGTACTCCGTATAAGGATGAAATGATGGGTGATGGATAGTGTACCTGAGCGATAGCTTATCCGAAGGGTTATTGCGGAGAATAACTAGAGAGAAGTTAGAGCAAGCAAGTAAGAGAGAGAGTCAGATGTATTAAATGAACTCAGCGTGCCTTACAGGGTAAATAGGGGCTGCTATTTATAGCAACCATAAATGCGATGAGAGTACACGTGTCAATAATCTAACGGTCGAAGGGTCACCTCAATCGGGGTGGCACCGGTATATGCATGTGCACCGCATTAAATGCGGTGGGTGGATGTGACGCCGCATTAAATGCAGTGGTCGCTTGTCCCAAAAGGGAATCTTCGATGATTACTCCATTTAGCCGAAGGCTCGGTGTAGCCGAAGGCTATCCTTATGTCGAGGGCGCCTATGAGCCGAAGGCTCCTGATTTCTGCCGTTTTCTCCCAGTAGCTTTGTGTGCTCAAATGAAGTTGTTCTGTGGAATTTGGAGCCCTCGGCCAAGGAGGCCGAAGGCACTTACATGTGTATTTGTGAGCTTTTTGATACTTGGGCCGCTATGTTTGGGCTTTGTGTGCTCATTGGGCTTGATGGGCATGAGCAGGAGAAGTAGGAGTCTGTAGGCCGGGGGTCCCTGGGCCATATACTCTATTAATGGGTATTTGTGGGTGAAGGTATTTTAGGGAGTATTGGAGTATTAGGTTGCCTAAAATAGAAACAGGACAATTATTTCAGGACGGAGGGAGTATAATATATTTAATAAGAAAGATTGAAAGAGTTGGAGTAGGAATGCAGAAATAGAAATTATAAATATTTATATATTATTAATGTGTAATTAACAAAAATGTAGGAAGTAGGAACTAGTTAACTACAACAATGTAGGAACTAGTTAACTACAAATGTATATAATTAAATATATATGTTAAATATGAAAGTGTAGGAGTATATAAATATAATTGTAATATAATGTATTTAATAAGAAAGATTGAAAGAGTAGGAGTAGTAATGTAGAAATAGAAATTATAAATATTTATACAGTATTATTGTGTAATACTAAATAAGTATATAAATATAATATGAGAATATATGAATCATAAAAGATGAAAGTGTAAATGTGAATAGAGTAGAATTAGTGATTGAGAAATTGACAATTGAGAGTAGAATGTGAGTAGAGGTAAAATAGTGTGAAAAAATGTATAAAATGAGTAGGTATTTATAGGAAAAAATTTGGTCACCCCCACCCCCAAACCCAACCCTCCCCCCAAATCCCTCCCAAACGGCTATAATGCCGTTACTAGCCGTTCCAAACAGCTAGTTTTACCCCAGCCCCCTTATTTAATTTTAAAAAAAAAGGCCGTTGGGACCGGAACTGGGACTAGGACCGCCCGGTCCGGTCCCCAAAATCGAAGCCCGGGTCCGAGTCCCCTTCTACCCGGTCGGGTACTTGGTCCTAGTCAGGAACCGGAAAACTGGACCCGGTCCGGTCTCGCATTGTAGCGGGCCCGGTTCTGGACCTGACCGTGACCATCGACCGGATACATGCTTATTCATAATCGTGAAATATTCAAAGGCTATAACAACTTAACCATAAGACTAAAACATAATTAAGGCTCATGAATATGACCAGCATTGGTTTATTTCTAAAATAAGGCTCACTAGTTCCATTTGAGGGAGTTTTTATATGTTAAATAAGATCAAATATGTCTTCTTTTTTAAATTAAACATAAGTACTCTTTTATGTGCATATTGTCTATGTTTTAAAGCCCCTCTGGTAACATTGTTTTTCGGCTTATCGGGTTTATCAGCATACTTTTTTACCAAACATCTAGCAAACCTTTTTGGGACGGAGGTAGTAACTTTTTATTTCGCGTAGTGAGTTGTGTAATAATAAGAAAAAGTAAGTTTGAAGTTACTTTTCTGGCTGTATTGGTTGAAGTTACTATAATCGTTTTAGCTATTTGTTCATGTAATTTTTTCTTTATTTTATCAACAAAATTATTTTATACTCCGTATGTAATTTTTAATAAATTATCAGAATCAGTCAATTCAGCCACAACTTCATAAATTTCAGCAAAATTAACTGACTCGGGCAATTTCAGCCTTACCAAACCGGCTCTTAGTCATATTTGGATTGATTTCTTTTAATCAATTACTCCATATTTATTAAGTAACAAAACACACACATATATATACATTGATCAAGGGACTCTAACAGGGTATTTATGAATGAAATCATCCCATGGATTCTTGGAAGTCCCACTTAAAATAGGCTTGATGCATTGAAGAACCAGGCTATTGCATTTGGGCCCAGTCCCCATACCCAACAACCAAACTTTGTCACCTTTCTTTACTCTGTTCTTAGCTTCCAAGTATGCCAACTCATACCACAATGACGCAGAAGATTGGTTCCCATACCTATACACTGTCATCAAAGCTGGCTCCATATCCTCCTCTCCCAGCTTCAACCTCTTCGCCGTCTCCCGGACGACAGACTTCCCGGTCGCCGGAAAACAGAAATGCTGTATGGCGGACTTGAAGTTCGGGACATAGATCTCCATCGACTTGTCCAGGAACTTCTTCTTCAGTGCGGAAACGAGAAAGAGGATGATCTCGGTAAAAGGGAGGAATCTGGCGCCGAGAATGGGAATGTGAGACTGCAGAGTTTCGCCGGCGACGTGAAGGACGTCGCCGTTGAGCCTCATTCCGGTGACCCCCTCGGCGTCCTCGTCTCGGAAGGCGGCATTGTAACGTCGGTCGTCGAACGCGCCCTGTGTTCGTAGAGTCCAAATCAGTTTGTATTTAGCCGTATTTTTCGCTTCCGGTTTGTTGCTCAGCAGCACGGCCGCAGCGCCCATGCGGAAAATACAGTTGAGCACCATGAACGGTCTCTCTTTTCCACGATACCAACCTGTTAATTAAGTAATTAATTAATTAAACACACCATTAATTTATTATGATTAACAACAACACGGTTGTCAAAGATGAAGTTTTTGTTCGGTTATTCAGTTTCATATCAAATGAAATTTACAAAAGATTAAAATTAGACAATAACAAAATGAACATAAATCAGACATACCTTTCAACTACTAATTAGGTGAAATCATTTAAATATCTCAAACTTTGAAGAGTGATATAAGTACTCCAAACTTGCACATGTAACATATATATATCAAACTTTATATAAAAAGTTATGTTAGCATCATCACCATATATATATTTTTTCATAAATGTAATTCTATGATATTAAGTACATAGTTTTAAATACACAACATTTATGAGGATCTAATTAAAATAAAATTGTATCGGATTAATATTATTTATTTCACAAACGAAATTATATAATGTTAATTGCATTCGAACAAGGCTTAAGGTCTTTTAAATTATATAATTATTCCCATAAATTTGTATTTGTAAATAACATAAAATCGTTGTGCAAAAATAATTTTTTATATAAAGTTTGGGGTATACATATTACATATGCAAGTTTAGGATACACATCCTACATCTTTTTAAAGTTTAGAGTATTTAAATTAATTTTTTCCCAATGAGTTATAGAGAAAATTCATTATATATGACTAAAACATAAACAATGTGCATGTATAGGAGTATCATTATTTTCTCCCTAAAATAGGAAATTTTATACTTTTAATAGGACCAAATAAATCTCATTTCCGGAACAAAATACACGAAAGTCATATTTATACATTTTGTCTAAGTTTTAGTCTTGTCCAGAACATTTTGTGATTATTAAAAGCATAATATATCGATCAAACTCATTGGTATTTCAATTATCTACATGCTCAATTTTTCATAGGGTTAGTTGACCGGCATCCTTGAATCCACCCTGACTATTGGCCTACACTTCTGATCACTATAATAATCATTAGAATTGAAAATACTCAATATGATTAGTGGCTAAATCGCATATTTATCTTTCACAAATTAGATCATACTAGTACCATAAAAAAATGTATCATACTAGAAATCTAGAATATTGCAATTAACGATTATGTCATCTTAATCAGCGGCACAGGGGCGTAGCTAGCTAGGGTCATACTCCCTCCGTCCTGCAATTAAGTTACCATTTTTTTTTGGACAATCCCCAAATTAAGTTCACACTTCCTTACTTTCCTTATTTGGGTAATTATCTACATCAAAATAGTGTCAAACAGTGTCAAACAGTGTTTGAACAGTGCAAAACAGTGCACTTCACAGTAAAGTCAAATTTATTTTCTTAATCTGTGTGAAGTAAAACAGGTAACTTGTTTTGGGGACGGAGGGAGTATTAGATTTGTAGACACCCAATACGTAGTACTTCTTCTATGACTTTGATTTTAATTCTTTTTGTTCGGGCTAATTTTAGCATACAAAAATGTATCCACCTACCTCCGCGACTAATTTTAGCATACCTAAATTATGAAATAATGACATGAATCAAATCAATATATTGTAAACATCACGTAATTTTAGCATACACTTATTGATGGAGTGTTTTTAAACTACCACATCATCATGGGCGGATTTAGGGGGCCAACCCAGCTATTTAAATAGTGATCCGCTACCGTTGTTGTAACCGCTACATGGTCACACAAGTCTCCGCTACCGCGTGCTACGGGACGCTATTGTGGTGTGAAATCCAACTAATCACAACGAAATCTGCTACGTAATCGCTACAGGGCCGCTACGCCGCCGCTTTGGGCTGCTACACACCGCTACTGGCCTCAACAAGGCCGCCATCAACCCCAACCCCAATGGTATACTCCAGCCCCAAATGCGTGAATGATCCGTGCATGCATTCAACTATACTTACTCGTGGGGTGGGTGATGCGAAAATGTTGTTTGGTTTGCTTTAAATCATGATACTTCTATCTTGTGCGCGTTTAGCTTGAAAATATTTCAAGCCGTTGTGATTGTTTTATACATCGCAGAGGCCGATACCGCTATTTAATTAAAACCTGGGGTCAACCTATGAACGTTACGTTTAGGCCCAACCCAAATTAAAAAGATCTTAATTTTTAATGTAAAAAATTAATGTAAAATTGTATCCAAAAGTATTATTGTTTCCATCCAGTGTCCTGACTCATTTATTCTGGGGCAATTTCTGAGCGATTTACCTGTGGTCAAGATCTCAGTGCTGAGAACGACAGCGTTACATCTTCGGTGAGGGTGGGCGACCATCATGTTCCGGACCATATCCACGGCCACTGTATTCCCACTGCACCCCATTCCGGTGAGGTTAAAGCTCTTCACGTCCTCTCTCATGCAGAAATGGTTCACTACGATCGACGACAGACACGGGTCGGGGCAAAACCCGCTACAGTTCACCACCAGTATATCGATGTCCTTCGGACAAAGCTCGTTTCTTGACAAGAGATCCTCAAAGATGGGGAAGAGGACCATGTGGACTTCACTTATGGCTTCCCGGTGATCCATTCTCGGCGGCAAATAGAACACCCCCGGCGGCAAGTAGGTCTCCTCGCTTAACCCGGAGTTCCTCAAGATCTTTTCCATGAAAGCGACGGATTTCCCGTCGAAGCTTCCCATCAGCTGGAGGTGCTCCACGAAAGTAGAGAATGGAACTCTGCAAAACTTCGGCGTGTAACAGGCGTAGTCGAGGACGTAGACCGCCGGCGATTTGAAGAGGTAGAGCAGGAGTACGATGAAAGAGGTAATTATTACGAGGTGGTAATAGAGAGGAACGTTATTAATGTGGTGTTTAAGGATGATGATGATGGATTCTAAGACAATGAAGAGTAGGAAGAGTGAGAGCTTCATAGATTCAACGACAGTTGACCGGAAATGTTGCGACAGAAAGTTGCCGCCGCCGGAGATTTGCTCCGCCATTACTGTATGTACGCTTTATATATAACACAGACTAATAACATCCAATAAAATTGGAATGATATCCTGTTATAACATATATGCGTGCAGTATGTACAAAGATATGGTTAAGCTAGGTTGGATGGCAAACATATATAGACATACGGACATGGGAGAACAGAAATTACAGATACTGTGTTGTTCCGGTTCTAGTTCAAGTTTTCAAAAAAAGCTTTTGTACTCACCTTTCTGTCAACTTTTATACCCATCACGTTTGTGTAAAACTTTTTTTTGTATGTCTGAGCAAATTTTGCACAAACAAAATAAGAAATACGGAGTATTTTGTCTATGAATCGGATTCACAGACAAAAAAACTGCGGACAGCTGGACAACCGGATGTAGGACTGACTACCTTTTTTGAAAACCTGAAAAAATCGATTTTGAGAGCTCGAAACCTTTTTTTGGTTGTATTGTGTGATCTACTATAATTAAAAAAGATATATAATGTTGGTGATTTTAGTGTCACCGGCTATTTTGTGTAATTGAAAATGGCATTAGTGTCAATGGAGATTAGAAAGGTGTTCGAATACAAGCTAGGAGATATGGAGTGCACACTTGTATATAAGAATGAGCTTTATTCCAATTAAAAATTAAGAGAGCAATCCATATACCCACTAGTTTAGCTCTAGTTCTTGTGCCTAAGTTCTAGAGTGTCCTTAATTAAAAATTATCCTAGATTGAATTTCTTGTAACTCAGACATAGGAGAGAAATATCAATTCGGAAAGTGAACTTACGCGATCCTTAAGCAATCCAAGTACTCGATTATCACCCCTACACACGAACCCCCAACATATGCCAAGTGTTTACCTCATATTTTAAATAAAAACGGAGTATTTTGTTAAATGAAATAAATTGATAAGTATCTGACGAAATTTAAACAAAAAATTATAGATTAGGCCCGTTCATTTCATATTTAGGATAGCGGATTTATTAAAATAGGTTTACGTAAATTTATCTTTAGTAGATAACAAAGTTACATGACCTGGTAAACTAACAAACAATTCTCAAAAAAGTTGTTTACACGAGTTTATAATTAGCCATTCTCAAGATCTGCCATATTTGAATCAACTACGCTCCGTAGTCCGTGGCCAGGAATGTGAATCAACTACAAGGGTGATATGGATATCTTTGTGCTTAAAACGTATGCTCCTTAGTTTTTATACTCTTTGAATAACACAAAGAATGATCACATTACCGCTAATAAGCATCAGCTCCTTAGTATATATATATTTAAAATTTTGCACAGACGAAATGCACATTTTCCAATTTTTAATAGGCACGTTTCTGTTTTACATGATACACAATGCTCAAATCCAACGCTCCAGAATCATTCTCGTTTCTGTTTTTGAAATTCCTTGCCAACTCCTTACTTGGACGTCCCAACAACCATCACACTAGGATGAGGGATGTGTGCCTCATCTCGGTAGCACTATTCCGTATCCACGTGGATTTCAACCTATGTAATCTCATGTGGGCACGTCTAAAAAAGGAAAGTGTGGCAAAGGGTGCTATTGTAGTGGGCGGGGTGATTATGCACTTGGCCACAAAGTTCGGGTATACGGATGACTCTCCTATACCCGACTACTGTTTGATGAACATATCTTGGCTGGGCCACTCGGGCTGTACATCTTTTTCACACACCGTTTATGGTGAAGAAAGGCCCAGAAATATGTACAACTGGCACATCCACCCCAAACCCCTCAAATACTTCCTCTTGCCCAACCCAGAACTCCCCCAACTCCAATTCAAAACAGGAAGAGCGGACCAACATTACCTCTTCCCAAACGCCCTCCCACCACATCTCCAGGAACCGGAACAGGAACCTCCCCAAAACCAACCCGATTACGAGCCATATGAGCAACTCCATAGCCATCCAACCATGAGCCAGGACTTCCCAGAACAGAACCAAAACCCTCCACCACCCGACTTCTTTCAACAACTTCTGGAGGGTCAACAACAACTTCTTTTGGGAATAGCCCAAATGGACAACCGGCTCAACCGATTAGAGGAGGAGCAAAGAGCCGCTTTTCAAAGATTGGAGGATGAGCAACGGGCCGGCTTTCAACTTAACGTTTGGAGGAGCTCAGGGAGGCTGATAGACATCGGTATGAGGAAGACCAACATAGGTTCTACGGGCCTATGTACTCTTTTATGGCACAGCAGGGATCCTTCCATACCATGGCGAACCCTCCTCCTCCACCCTCATGGTATGACCCCACTCATTGGGGTAACTTTGGAGGATCTGGCTCCGGGGGTGGAGGGTACGACGGCGGAGATGGCGGGGACACCTACATGGGAGATGGTGGCCAAGGGAGCGGCTTTGGAGGGAGCTACTACGGAGGAGAAGGCGGGCACTAGGGACAGTGCTTGATTCAAGTGCGGGGGAGACACTCATGATGGTATGTAATTTTCATTTCTACCTAGCACTATGCATGTAATTCTTTTGAACTTTTACACAAAAAAAAACAAAAAAAAAATAAAGAAAAAATAAACAAAAGAAAATAAATGCTAGTTAGGTTGAAAACCCAACAAAATGGGCAATCTAAGCAAAAAAGGCTTATAAAAAAATGAGTGAGTTGGAGAGAATGGAAAATGAAAAGAGGTGCTAGGATGAAAACCTGAAAAGACTCCTAGGCAAAATGAGAGATATGAGAGAAATGTTTGTTCTTGCAGGCACTCATTGTATCCTTATGAAGAATATGAAGATTCAAGATAAAGAAGAAGAGAGGAGGAGAAAAGAAGACAACACTAGGAGGCCATTAAACCCAAGATGCTCTTTTGTAATATGAGTTTAAAACTCATTTTTCTTTATCATCCTTGGTGGTCTTTGTGTTTGTATTATGTTTTTGTTGAACTGTGGAACATTTGGAAAAACATTGACACTTGTAAACATTTGATCTTACTCGAGACGAGTAAAGGTTTAAGTGTGGGGGAGTTGATACGTTCATAATTTCCATATCTATGTTTATGTTTTTAATTAGTTTTGCTTGACTTTTACTTTGGAAATTACACACTTTTGGTGTAATAGATTAGATTGTAAAATTCTTGTAAATAGGTTAGATTAGATATATTCTGAGCTTAAGCAGGTTTTGGTCACTCAAAGTACAGTTGGTGAACCCAAAAAGTGAAGAGAAGGTGCAAAAGTTCAAAGACAAAAGAAGATCCTGAATTTTGGTCTATACTCGGTCGAGTATTAGCTATACTCGATCGGGTATTAGGTTGGAACTTCAAATCGGATCAGATCCGAAGACAAGGGAACATGCAGGGAAGATTTTGGCCACGATTTTATGTCTATACCCGATCGGGTAGACCGACATACCCGATCGGGTATGCCTTTGAATTGCAAACGAAGATCGGTCGAGTATAGCACGAATACCACTTTCTAAGCATACTCGACCGGGTATTCATATATACTCGATCGGGTATACACTTAGAAAATAGCCTGAAACCGGTCGAGTATGCCTCGGATCGAGTGTTACAGACGTACTCGATCGGGTACCATGTATATACCCGATCGAGTACCCGAATCCCATCCCAAAAACCTATAAATACACCTCCTTTCCTTCACAAAAAGATATCCAATCCCTTTGTACATCTAAGCTCAGTATAGAATAGTTCTTTCTTTATATTTTTCATCATGTTTAGTCTCCAAATGAGGAGCTAAACTCTTCCATCTTGGTTTTGCTACTTTGAAGCTTAATGAATTTGTAAGTTGTGAGTTATTTTCTTTAATCTTCTTCCTTGAATATTAATTCTTTCTTTCAAAATACTATCTCTATATCAAAGTTGGGGAGTGTTACTAAGATGACAATTAGTTAACATCTTGACATTGGTTATAATAATAGCTATTTCTTCCTCTATGATAATATTGGGGAGTGTTACTAAGATGACAATTAGTTAACATCTTGATATTAATCATAGTAGGATTCATATATTTTAATATTCTTCCTTGAGTATTAATTAATTCCTATTCATATTTCATGTTAATATCTTAAACATTACTTAAAATATCAACTAGTTTTGTTTCTCATATTAATTATTACTAGAATCAATCGGTTAATACGCTTGTTATTAATCCGGTTCTTTCAACGGTAGTAATCTTGGAATATTAATGAATGCATCTCATGGTTAATATGCCAAGGGGAATTAATTATATTGATTAAACCAATAAACCGCTTGTGTTGAGGTTATCAATCTCAATCGTTTTCATATTAAGTTTATTGCTACTATCAAGTTAATATACGGCGCTTGTTCTATATTGACTCGATAGTAAGTTTTATTAATGAACGCATCTCGTTATTAATAACTACCCTCGATGAACTGGATATACTCCTCGATTGAGTATTCGAGAGGAAGATAGTTAAAGATATAACCGGGATCGACGAACATTTCATTAAGTGGATAAAAGCAAAACCAAGTCCCCGTCTCATTGAATTAAACTCATATAGGTCGTTTATCTTAGTGTTATTAAATCAAACAAATCTAAACCCCCTTTGTTACTACTTTTATAAAAGAAAAGTATTCCTTTCCCTGTGGGTACGAACCTTACTACACTATACTACGTATTAGTGTTGTATTGATTATTTATTTTGAGTGCACCTAACGACGAGTGCACGTCAAATTTGGCGCCATTGCCGGGGAAAGGCAATTAATTTTTCTTTTATTTCATTTCAAGAAAAATCAAAAAATATATATATACCAAACAAAAAAGAGTGTTTATTCTTCTATTTTCTGAGCTTAGTGGAGTTTATGGTTAAACATCGTTCCATAAACGAAATCACATATCACAAAAACCCAGAAATAGAACAAACTTTCGAGCGGTTGAAAAGTAAATTTTCTAACACCGACTCGGAAGAATCATCTTCCAGAGATTCATACACCGCTAGCTCTAGTTCTAGCGACACCGAAGAGCCAACCACAATGGCTCTTGAAACAAGAACACTGAGGGACCTCACAGCTCCAAACCTCAACCAACAACCACTGTGTATTACCTTCCCTACACTTGATGAGGG